CAACGTTCCATTTTGTGCAATAGAAAGTATTGCAAATGTCTGTGATCTCTGACCATCACATGTTTCCCTCTGCGAACGGACATCAGTCGTGAAAGCTATTCTGCTTGTGTTGGCAAAGTTGCTCCCGACTAACACGATTCGCTGGTTTGTCCCGGCGGTCAAAACAAGCGTCCCAGTCTCATCCCTGGTACTGACCGCCTCCTGGGACAAAATCGCAGATAACTGTGGCAGGTCTACACCGAAAACATCCGTAAAATTTAACAAGAAAATAAACTTGAAGAAAAACCTGACATATCGAGGAGCCATCTTATTATAACAGGAAGTTGCCTAAAAGAGAAATTCGGAATCGATAGTGAGTTTCTAGTCCCGGATTATCATACCGTAGTAACAGAAAAATCAAAATGGAAAAGAAAAATTGTCTCAAGACCAAAGCCAATAAACAAATAAAAAAACCTTCTATCTGTATTAATCATCAATATGGTATTGATTCTATAAGAACGTCCATTTTTTGCAAACAAAGACAGATAACTCGATCAAACTGAGAAACATTCTAAGATACATGTACGTGTACATGTGATTTTTAATAAAAATGGAATAACAACATGAAAAAATGTAAGGTCTTAGGAGGGATTCTTCTAGTGTTTATCATATTTAGAAAATATTAATAAAATTTCCACAGATTCAATTTATTAAGACCATATCACTAAATGATAATATCAAGTACAAATTTGACTTCCACAATAAAGGTCAAGGTCATGTCAAGGTCGAAATGACGTAAAAATTCTTATTTCGAATCATGTTCAGCATTAAATACACACTGGAATACGATATACAAGTTTCTACATGTATATATGTAAAAAAAAAAAAAAATATCAATATTTTTCAAAAGCCAACAAAGCAAGCAACTTGTACTCTTGCTCAAGTTTTAATTCTTTAACAATATTTATCGATTAAACTTTGAAAATGGGACCAGGTCAAAGTTAGTTCGGTCTCGAGGTGTGTTTACAATGTCACCAGGTCTCACTTTAAATCCTTTAGTAATGTCAACTGAACTATCTCAAATAGATTCTGCATGCCAGCAAATCACACTTCCATGTTTGCTGTGTCTGGAAAAGCTTTGGTGTCCGAGTGACAATGGTGAAAGCTGAGCATCCAGTGCTTTTAAAATTAATGCAATTGGAACATGTGGCCAAGGGAAGAAGAAAAAAAAACGACCGAAAACCACCGGTCCTCAAAGTTCAGGATTTTATTTATTTAAATTATTTATTTATTCATTATTATTATTATTTTTTTTTTTTTGCATGTTTAGTCACCAGACAGAGTAAAACTGTTATGATTACATGTACACAATCTGCTATAATGACTGTGTGATGCATACAGTGTGTGTGTTTGTCTGTATCTGTGCTTGTCGCACTCACTTTCAGCACCACCCCTGGCTAACAGTTTAAGAGGTATTTTATTCATAATATACAAAGAAGTATACAATGAACATAGATTGAACAACTGAGCGGCCTATGTTAGTTCTCTCCATTTGAGACCAAGGTACAAATGTAAATACTGTACATATTTGAAGTTATACAAAGACATGATTATAAACTAATATTGAAAGGGTTAAAGATTACAAAATTGGAGAAAAAATGAGTAAAAAGTAGGCAAAAAAACAAAAAAAAAACAATAAAATTTATATATTTAACCAATGAAAAAAAAAGAAAAACAAACAAACAAAAAAATAAAGATGGAAAGGCTCATACTCGTATGATTTTTAGTACTTTCAACCTGAAGGTCAAGATTGAAAGACACTGCACATTACTTGCATAGTTTCACATTCTAAAATCTTTTAGTGTTTTGTTTGTTTTGTTTTGTTTTTTTTTAAATTATGAACTTAGTCAAAGAACAGCATATTTTCTCTAAGAGATAGACAATCATAATCAGTTAATACAATATTGACATCTCTTGGTATGTCATGGTCACTCATATAATTATGTATACTGCATTCTCATTATATCGCGGGTTCCATTGTATCGCGGTATATTCCAAAAAATCAGATACAAAGCTCATATCCTTTTTGTTGAAAAAAACTATATGTCTGTCATCTGAATGTAAATTTTTGTGATGATTAAAAAGTATGAAACATGCGTCGGAAAAGTTTTTATTCAAATTAAACATACTTTTACAGATTTTCATTCCCGTTTTTATTATATTTAGACCACTGAACTTGGAATCTAGCAAAATCCATAATGAAGTTCATGTTTGAAAGTCTTTAGTTTGTATAATTGTTAATTTTTTATATAGAATTACATCGTAAAATAAAAAAAAAATAAGAATTGAAGTCCATGTCAACTTCAAGTTTCCATGTTTTCCTATACCGGGATACTATGAGACTCCCCAATTTAGGAGGTAAATAAGACTTTGAATTTTAGAAATAGACTACAAATTAAATGATGCAAGCTTGGGAAATAATTTGACACTAAAATGTTAGGCCATAGTTTGGTTTATGAATATAATTTGGTGAAAGTTAAAGTAAAATTTGGAATTAGACTTTTTGTGCAAAAGTTTTAAGTACCGCGATATAATGAGACACCAGTATACATGTAATTAAAGACTTCCTGGCAAGATCATAACATGGGCATTGAAAGGGAAAATTAACAGAGTCTTTAAAAAGACCACGTTGTAAGCATTTTATCTGTGTTTGCTGTGAAAAGGAAGCAAAAATATGTCTTCCCTGCCAGGTACAGCCTCTCCACAGTTAGAACTTTGTAGCCCAGATATGGGATCCTCCTCGAGGTAGCAGATGGAAAGTGGGTACCTTGCGGCCCCAAGCAGAACCACAAGGTCTTGGAGGAGACCAGACCCCTCCCCTAAATGCACGGCATGCACGGCCCACCGGTGTTTGGATATGCTCTGATGCCTGCAATCCTAGTCCCCAGCTGTGGGTAAAAAGCAAAAAAAAAAAAAACCAAAAAAAAAAAACGCTACCTTGTATACATACCGGAAGTTGACACTGATTTAGAAATTGAAACAGAGGAACTATCTAAAACTGAATTATACAAAGCAATAACAGCCTTTAAGAACAACAAAGCACCCGGAAATGACCAACTGCCAGCAGAGTTATTATAGCAGATCCAAACCTTGCAGCAGACATTTTACACACGTTATTCACCAAGATCTGGAATAATAACACAATACCTACGACATGGTCCAAAGGAAATATCATTAAAATGGCAAAGAAAGGATATCTAGATAACTCCACTAACTGGAGGGGCATCACCTTACTATTATCAAATTAATAATCGACAGAATTAAAACTGCAATTGATGCCAAAATAAGAAAGAGCAAGCAGGTTTTAGGAAAGGAAAAAGCTGTTGCGACCAGGTGTTTACCATATGAAATATTATAGAGCAATGTACAGAGTGGCAAAGATATAGCTTTTAATAAATTTTATAGATTTTGAAAGAGCCTTTGACAGTATCTACAGAGAAAGCTTAGAAGCTTGGAAGATCTTAAGACATTATGGAATGCTATCAAAGATAGTAGAACTGATTAAAGTTTTTTACTTGGAGTTTAATTGCTCTACAGGCAGCTCATCAGATGCCTGCTTCATTGTAAAATCTGGCGTGAGGCAGAGATGTTTGATGTCAGCTCTCCTTTGTATACTATCAGTTGACTGGGTAATGAAATCAATCCTTAGTGGCAATAACACAGGAATAAGATAGACTCTTTTCACCTGTCTTGAAGACATAGACTACGCAGATGACTTGGCTCTACTATCATATCTAGAAAAGTATATGCAAAGTAAAACATCAAAATTACAGAGTAATGCAGAAAAAATTGGATTAAAAATCAATACCAGGAAAACTGAAGTTATGTCAATAAACATCAAACAACCAGCAAGAATACAGGTTGATGGAAACGACCTGAGCAACACAACATTTACCTATCTTGGCAGCAGAGTAACATCAGATGGGGTGCGGACAAAGATATAAAAGCCAGACTAAGTAAAGCTAGGGGTGCATTCATCAGCCTCAAGAACATTTGGGAAAAAAATGACATAAGTAGAAGGACAAAAATAAGAATCATCATAGTGGCTGCGTCCTGTCTGTCCTACTCTTTGGGGCAGAATGCTGGAGAATGACAGAAGGAGACATATGCAAACTCTCTAGTTTTCACAATGGGTACCTCAGAAAGATCATGAGGATTATCTGGCCAAATAAAATTACCAATATGGAACTCCATGAGAAAGCAAACACACTTGATATGAGAACTTTATTGACAAAACGGAGATGGCGATGGATAGGGCATGTGTTGAGGAAACCATCAAACAACATCACCAAAGCAAAGTAGCTCTTAGATGGACACCGGAAGGGAAGAGGAAACCTGGTCGGCCAAAGAACACCTGGCGAAGAACTGTTGAAAAGGAAATGAGAGACCACAAACTAACTTGGGAAAAACTGGAGAGAAATGCTCAAGATAGAAAAAGTGGAGAAGTCTAGTCCTTGCCCTATGTGCCCGCGGGCATAACAAGGATTAGGTAGGTAGGTACATGTACATAATCCAACTTAAGGAGAGTCATCTTTGGTCTATCATGTAGTTCTGTAGGACATCCTAGATAAACTGGTCGCAATCGCGATACTCCTAAAAGAATCATTCTACTGTGCAATCCTTAAAAGATGGTGAAGAATATGACAGATTCTTGGTACTGGAAGCAACAGGACTGAAGCGGGTTTGCACAATGTTTGGATTCTCATTTTTATTGGTTATCATGGTTATAGACTGAATTATGAAAACAACTACAGAAGCAGAAAAATAAATCCCTATACACAGTATTTGGTGCTTGATACTGCGTCTAAATTCTTAATTCAATGCGTTATCATAAATGTTATTACTCAGTAATTCGAAGTACAATGTAATTAATTTAATTATTTGTATAATTTTCATTTATTTCAAATATAAATTCACACAATATAATGGATGGCTATTCTTTTTTATTTTGACAGCCACGCACTATATTACAAAGACACATGTACATGAAGTGATATGTTCGCTTTTAGTTGGATAAAAGAAATCTATTGGCGAGGATCTATCAGTAGATTTAGCAGGAAAATTCAAGGATTATCATTCTTAACAATAAATATAGTTTTATTGACAGAGAAAAAATCACCAAATACGACGTCCTTCGCTAAGCAAGCTACTGTAGATTGATTAAACCGGTCAAATGTTGTCGATACTATCAACTTCACCAAATGGCGACAGTCATCAGTTCTTGTAGGCTGTATGGAAGTTTTTGTGATGTTTTTTGGAACAATAGTATAACTTTCATTAGATAGTCTCACAAGTGCTAATGTAGTTGTATCAGGGTTTAATAATGCGGTGCAGTTGATGGTCTGATTAATTTCCTTCTCAGGATAACTATCCTTAATCTCGAGGGTTATTTCAGAAGGGGAAGCTAAAATAGAAGAAAGAAAACAAAAGATGAACTTCTAGTTGAATCAAGAATGCCTCACATCAAAGCTTTCATTTAATACAGTAATATAACCTCATACTTGGTTAATAAATTATATTTGCGATCAAACTTTATTATCAATATTATCGCTTGCACATAAAATAAAATTTTCTCGGATTTTTCCTCATGAGTTTGGCATCACATTAAAGTACCGGTATGATTATTCATATCAACATTTTAAGCAAAAAAGAGAGATGGCCTAAAACTAATCTGGTGGGTAGGCTTATTTCGATACCGGTATCAACAGAGAGCTGGGTTCACTTTATGCATAGAATGGCCCTACAGCTATTCAAAATTATTAACTAACGCTTAATATTACATTTCAAACACTGTTATATAAAGATCTCGTGCTTTAAATTCCTATAAAAATTCTCCAGAAAGCTAGGTTATTGGAATACAGGATTTGTGATATGGCAGTGTTCTTGAATTTTAGGGAAAACAGGTACATTTGAGTACACTCCTTGATCTAAAATACAAAACATGTTTTTGAAATCCTCAAAAACAGTTCTATCATTTGATAGTTAGATCAGAGGTTGCGCTCGCTCTATATGAAATATCGAAAAATAGCTTTAAAATTAGCTGTTTTTGTACAAGTTTTAAGGGTATGTAGAAAATGACACATTTTGTTCTTTAACATCCTTAAGAACTAAAGACAGACTAAATGATATTTAAAATGTACACATCTCGTCTTGGTAAATATTTCATGTTAAAGGGTATTGAAAATTCATATGAAAATTAATTTGTCATTTGTGTTAACCTGCTATGGCCAATTGACTTTCATTTTCTCCAGGAAGCAGGAGACTTTCGTTGAAACTTGTAACCCTACAAATATAAACTCCAGCAATGTTGCAAACGTCATCTCCAGATCTCAGATCAAAGGTGAAATTCACTGCTCTGTACTCATCAAACTGATCGCTAGTATAAACTGCGAAAACTCGATCATTCTGAGGTTGGATGGTGTAGTTGTCAAAATTAATTGCCAAAATTGGATGAGAAGACTTATTGAGCAACTGGAATGCAGAGAAATAAGATCTGGATAGAGGGATTCTGCATTGAAAGGAAACTGTAGAGTTCAGCTCTCCATATATTTTGGCTGGTTCCACGATAGCTTTGACTACAATTAAAATGACAATATTAAATCAAACATGATAGCTTTCTTATCAAAAATAAGTTCCAATCATCTTGTTTAATTACATAAACTTTGCTTTTCTAATACAAGTAATTTAAATTTATTATTACAAGCAAATAGTGATATCAAAATTAAATATTCACGATAATAAACTCATTTATAATTCTTTTTGGATCTATACAACATTTTTTGTTAATTTACTAAAAAAAATCTACCTTGCGTAACACTGATTGACACGCAACGGGTTGGCAAAGATATGTTGTAGAGATCATCTTTACCGTGACAGCGGAAAGACGACCCATTTCTGGAATCCATCATAAGTATATGAAAGCGGAATAATGTTTTATTCGAGCACGATACGTCAGTGTCGTTATCCAATTTCAATACATCTCTAGTCACCAGTTCTGTTGCCTCCAAATTTTCAAAACTTCCATTTTGACAGACTTCCAAGAAAACATTTGTGTCCCTAATGTCACCATGGTCAACAGTGCAGTCTATAGTGGAGTTGGATCCACTCAGATAGGAAGATTCGGTAGAAATATTGATTGCAGACAATTGAGCTGGAGAGGTCAAAATGAAATAGACATTATAATTAGGATAATATGTCACATGTCTATAATGTACGTGTAGGTATATAAGTATACCTATATATAATATATTATATGAATAATATATATGAATTTCAATCTTCACCTGATAAGCAGTTAATACATTTTTATGAACTTGGACTTACCTTGTATCATAAAAGAACTATTGGCAGCTATAGTTTGAATTGATGAGTCTATGATATCAATGTCACAAGAGTAGTTTTTATTCAATTCACATATTTCTGAATCTGAACTTGTATCGATCAGCACTGTAATATTTACAAATCCAACACCAATATTGCCTGTGCCGTTAATTTTAGAGTCCCGTGATTCTACCCTGCTGTCATTATGTATAGTTAAAATCACAGTGGATGCCGTTTTGTTATGTCGTCTTATAGAAGCGGATGTCCATGCCAAACCTTTGGTTTGAATGGAGCATATCATTTCTGTAACAGTGCCTAGTTTAGCAAATACTGTAGGGGACATCTCCGCAGTCACTGCAATATATATATCAATGTAGAAATTTATATCAATTATGCACAGAAAATGCCATGTAACTGTGGTTAGATAAATTCAAATTATAATAATGTATAAATTAGTTTGCAAGTTCCGATGAATTTAAAGTTGATCAAGCTGGAAAATATATAGGAAATATCAAACTGGCCTTTAATTAATAAAACTCTGCAACATCCATCCTTTATGTAACTGAAATTTTCAGGAACAATCCTTGTAATCTTCAGGAAGAAAAAAAAATTCTTCCTCACCCTACCCTTTCCCCCTCTCCCCTCTCTTTTCCTTTCACTCCTGTCTTTCGTTTCCCTTTTTCTTTTTGTCTCCTCTCTCTGAATTTCTCGCCAACCTCTTTTTTCTCTCTCTTTATTTCTATCTTTATCTCCCCTCTCTTATCCTTCTTTATCTTCTCTCAATCTCTTTCTCTATGCCCCTTTCTCACTCTTTCTTTCTTCTTCTCTCTCCCCTTCGAATACTCTTTTTTCTCCTCTATGTTCTTTCTCTCTCTGTTCTTTCTCACCCAATCTCTTTTTCCTCATCCAATCTGTCTTTCATTCTCTCTCCTAATTAAAACAATGTTCCCAGCAATTCTTTTTTCACAAGATTTCTTCTTTTATGGAATAGTATAGTAATGCGTTATTTAAAAAAAATCGATTGTTATTTGAAATAAAATATTGTAAAATAAATACCAAGCTGTGGAACGACAGTTATAGTTGTGCAGTTGGATTCCATCGTTGCATTTAAATTGGAATTTTTAACACTACATCTGAATGATACGCCAGTCTGATTATTAAAGTAAATAAGATGACTAAGCATCAATTTGTAAGTGCAATTTTCGTTTTTCAGACTAGTCTCATTCAAACTGGTCGTATCTACAAATTTCTGAATTGGAGTAAATGTGGAATCAGAATTGCAAATATCCAGTGAGAGAGTAGTTGTTGATGGTTCCATGGTGTTTGCACTACAGTTGACGAAATCATATGTTCCATATTGATATCGAGGAAGGAGGTGGAGAGACAAATCAGAAACGGGAACTGAAAATGGAAAAGAGAATAGGACAGAAGTATTACACATTTCAGATAACCAAGATATGCACATCCAAACAAGTGGGCCTAATATACCTGAAAAGTTCAACGAAGTACTGTCGCTCTCAGTTGCAATGTGTTTGTCTACCATTTCTATGGAACATGTGTAGATCCCGGAAAGAGAGCAAGCATCCTTCGGTGTTGCAAAATCCAAGACAACGGTAACGTTCACAAAACTCGAATCTTCTCTCAAAGTCGCATTTATTTGACCTTCATGCCAATCTCTGCTACCGTTTGTGAGTCGAACAATTCTTCGAGAGATTGAAGACTCGTTTTGAAAGTCTAATAGAACCGCATCCCACTCAAAACTACTCACATTGAAATAACAAAACAATTCCGTTTTGTTTTCTATCATAATGTCATGGCTTGGAGGATCCATGACACCAACCACTGAAAAATAAATATAAATGAAATATAGCTCAAACAATTTCCTCAACTGTTTTGCTGTAAATAAATTGCTTATATATATAAGAGTGTACGATATTTGGCTTAAATTAGAATTTGGAAAAGCTAGTGCGTATTTGATTAACATGAAGATTTTTTGATATCCTTATTAATAAATATATGTGCGAGACATTTGGCGTTCTAAATGAGTTAGCGGAATTTCTTTACGCCAAAAGCGCTTCGAAAATACACAGTTAAATGTAATAGGTGAAATATATGGAGTTAGCCAACAGTATTTACAGGTTACAGTATTGGTCATGAAGAAACCTTGCACTAAATGTTTCCAAACAGATATTAAAAATTGAAAATTGACATTGTTTTCTTCAATAGTCCTACGATAGGATTAACGGAGAAAAATCAAGAAGATATCATTTTCCCTATTTCCTCAGGTACACGATTGTGATTGTGAAAGTCTCTGAACATTTCGTTCAAATGTGAAATTATCCATCAGTCTCAAATGTTTTAAATTTTATACGTTTTGGATCAGAATCCTACATATATTTTTCAGTGAGAACGCCAGACATCAAATGGTTTATGTGTTTATGCATTGATCAAAAGACAAAATAGAATCAAAAAGAGTACCTAATGCAGTTGAAATCTCGGGTATCCTGCATGATGTAGGTAGGGTTGTGTTTTTGAAGGAATCGTGAAAACTACATCGCAAAGAGACATTCATTTGAGAATTGAAAAGAACCTGGTAATTCAGCAGTATTTGCTGGGAACAGTTTTCATTCTTCAGACCAGTCTCATTGTAAACAACGAATGATGTGTTGTACATTTCGAAAGGAATAAAGGTCGAGTCTGCATCACAAACTTCCAGGGAGAGAGTAGTTGTTGCTGGTTTCATTGTGTTTGCACTACAGTTGACGAAATCATATGTTCCATATTGATATCGAGGAAGGAGGTGGAGAGACAAATCAGAAACGGGAACTGAAAATGGAAAAGAGAATAGGACAGAAGTATTACACATTTCATATAACCAAAGTATGCACATCCAAACAAGTGGGCCTAATATACCTGAAAAGTTCAACGAAGTGCTGTCGCTCTCAGTTGCAATGTGTTTGTCTACCATTTCTATGGAACATGTGTAGATGCCGGAAAGAGAGCAAGCATCCTTCGCTGATGCAAAATCCAAGACAAAGGTAACGTTCACAAAACTCGAATCTACTTCAAAGTCGCATTTATTTGACCTTCATCCCAGCTCTGCTTCTGTTTGTGAGGCGAACAATTGTTTGAGAGAGTGAAGATTCGTTTTTAAAGTCTAATCGAACCGCATCCCACTCAAAACTACTCACAATGAAATAACAAGACAATTCCGTTTTGTTTTGTATCATAATGTCATGGCTTGGAGGATCCATGACACCAACCACTGAAAAATGAATGAATTTTAGCTAAAACAATGTCCTCAACTGCATTTTGACTATAAATAGATTGCCATATATATTTAGATATTTGACTTAAATTACAATTTGGAAAAGCTAATGCGTATTTGATTTACATGTAGCTTTTCTTGATATCCTTATTAATGAATATATGTGCAAGACATTTGGCGTTCTATTGGAATTGGCGGAATTTTTTTTACGCGAAAAGCGCTTAAAAATACACAGTTAAATGTAATAGATGAGATATGTGGAAATAACCAACAGTAATTTATAGGTTACAGTATTTTTTCCACGTCATGAAGAAACCTTGCACAAAATTTTTACAAACAAAACCATGGATTTTTTTGAAATTGAAAATTGAATTAAAACAATTGTTTTCTTCAATATTTACAGGTTACAGTATTGGTCATGAAGAAACCTTGCACTAAATGTTTCCAAACAGATATTTAACAATTTCTTTTCAAAATGAAATTTTTTTGAACAAGACACATAATCAACAAGATATCATTTTTCCTATTTCCTCAGCCACAAGACTGTGATTGTTAAACTCTCTGAACGTTTCATTCAAATGTGAAATTATCCATCAGTCTCAAATTTTTCAAATTTTATCCGTTTTGGGTCAGAATCCTTCATATACTTTTCACTGAAGATGCGAGACATCAAATGGCTTATGTGTATATCCATAGTTCAAAAGACAAAATAGAATCAAAAACATTACCTAATGCAGTTGAAATCTCGGGCATACTGCATGATGTAGGTAGGGCTGTGTTTCTATAGGAATCGTGAACACTACATCGCAAAGAGACATTCATTTGAGAATTGAAAAGAACCTGGTAACTCAGCAGAATTTGCTGGGAACAGTTTTCATTCTTCAGACCGGTCTCATTGAAAACAACGAATGATATGTTATACATTTCGAAAGGAACAAAGGTCGAATCTGAATCACAAACTTCCAGGGAGAGAGTAGTTGTTGCTGGTTCCATTGTGTCTGCACTACAGTTGATGAAATCATATGTTCCATATTGATATCGAGGAAGGAGGTGGAGAGACAAATCAGAAACGGGAACTAAAAATGGAAAAGAAAATAGGACAGAAGTATTACATATTTCATATTGCCAAGGTATGCATATCCAAACAAGTGGGCCTAATTTACCTGAAAAGTTCAACGAAGTGCTGTCGCTCTCAGTTGCAATGTGTTTGTCTACCATTTCTATGGAACATGTGTAGATCCCGGAAAGAGAGCAAGCATCCTTTGGTGTTGCAAAATCCAAGACAAAGGTAACGTTCACAAAACTCGAATCTACTTTCAAAGTGGCATTTATTTGACCTGCATGCCAAGCTCTGCTACTATTTGTGAGGCGAACAATTGTTTTAGAGGCTAAAGAGTCGTTTTGAAAGTCTAATCGAACTGCATCCCACTCAAAACTGCTCACATTGAAATAACAAGACAATTCCGTTTTGTTTTGTATCATAATGTCATGGCTTGGAGGATCCATGACACCATTCACTGAAAAATAAAATACTGCTAAAATATTTCTGTAAAGCTTAACATTGAGGATAAAGCTTCGCAATAAATTGTCATCATGAAATTAAGCATAACAAAATTGTTGTTGACAACAATGCTTACATGTACATGAGAGTTTTTTGGCTATTTTTACACCAGTTGTTTTGATTTTTATCATAAAAGTCATACGCAAGAACATATAATTATCTTTTTTTTTTTAATTATAGCGATTGTAATATGTTCGAGTATTTAGTTTAAATATAAAGCAACTGACAGCAGAAAAAATAATAATATTGACTTTTCTTTAATTTTTTTTAAATTTTAATGTTATGTTTTCAGTTTTAATTAATTTCAATTTAATGTTGTTCTAGACAAAAACCAATGATATTTGACTTGAACCTGGTCATCCATTTGGAAAATCTTGCTTGGATCAAGCATCCAAAGCAAATGTTTTAGTGCCTATTTCTATATTCAACATCCATGTGAGATTGATCCAGGTAGGACTCAAACAAATCTGGAAATGGCCCTTCTACAAAAACGGTTGGCGGGATTTGCACATATGTTTTGGATTCATCTGGTAAAATTTGACCTTGAATATCGTTCATTATCTCCATATGTTTTAAAAAATTAGACCATCATCCTGGAATATTTAGCAAGTGCATCCGAAGCAGGTGTAGTAGTGCCCTTCCCTACATAATTCATGCAAGTTTGGTCCAGGACTTAAAGTTACTTAGATATGGACTTGCTACTAAAACTTTAACCGGGACGCCAACACTAACACCGTCGCTGCGAAAGCTAATCTTGAATTTGTTGAGATGCATTAAAAAGGGGATTTTTTTTTACATAATCAGAAAAGTTCTTCTTCACCATAATAAACCATTCTTTTAACGTTTTATCATGAAATGAGGATAATTACTGGCATTATTTTTGATAGGCCATGCATTGCATTTACGTGATGAAGTGCAATTTAAATCAGAAATTGACCAGCCACCAATGTAATGTAATTCTTGATTTTAAATTAAATTTTGATGCTTTTGAATAATAATGACTTATCTCTTATTTCATCAACTTTGTTATACATGGATTTCTTACCAGACGTGAGGACAGAGACGACATTGATGACTGCACTGTTGGATTTCAGATATATTTCACCTGATTCGTTTCTCATAATACATTGAACAGTAGATTGGTTAAGTTCTGTGGTAACATTAAATTCGTACATGAAAGTTGTCAGATTGGTACATTCTGCAGTGGAGGTCTTCAGTAGCTGCTTAGAAACCTTAACATCAGTTGAATTCAGGGTATTGTTTTTGATATCAGTAAAGGTAAGAAAAACTTCAGTATCTGGTTCTGCTAACTGTAAGTTGCAGCTTATTTTATCATTTGAATCTATCAGGTAGGCCTTTTTCGTTGATAGATGAAGATTTTTAGACATCCCTTTTCCATTGAAAAAAATGTACATATTATAATGCAAAAACTGTCACAAAATTTTAAAAAACATCAGCGTTCAGATTTTTTGAATTATAAAGTTGTATTTACTTTGATGATGTTGATAAACCTATTAAGATATTACCTTGTACTTTCATGGATAAGTTTCCATACAAGAGAGTGAAGTTGTCTACCATATCAAAGCGACATTCATACATTCCTGTCAAAGCACAATCATTCTCTCCGAAATTGAACAAAAATGTCACAATGTCTGCCTCCATTTCAGTTGTTCTTTTTAATGAAGCGTTTACTCTATTATCAAAGCTCATAATATTTCCACTTTGTGACACATTGATTAAAGTTAACAACCTGGTGTCATTGTGAAAAGTGAGGTAGACATTGCTCCAGCTGTACCAAAGTTTTTGAATGAAGCATTGAACGGACTCTGAAGAGTTGGGTTTGGCGTTTATAGCTGACTTATCAAATATAGACTTAACTGCAATGTAAAGATGCTCATATTTAAAAACACAAACACTGTCGGTGACCTTAATGTATGTTCAATACACCATTTTCAGTAAGCCAAGAATAACCCTGATATATTAAAAGATTTTAGAACTTTTTATTAAATTTTAAAGTATTTCAAATATTTTACTCAAATGCAATACATTTTTCATTAACAAAATATGTAGAGTACGTTTGATGTCCTCTAATGTATATAATCGTGTAGGGACACTTTCAGATACACGTGAATATTGTATGCTTTCATTCTTAACACTAACATTTATATATCTATTTGATAACTTACTTGTATGGCAATTCTTTCCTTCCCATCCATCTATACATCCACTAAAACAATTTCCTGTGTGTCTGTCGCAAATCTCACTTAGATTTGAACAATGACATCGAAATTCGCAGTTTTCACCGAATTTTGGTGGAGGCGTCTCGCAAGAATTAGAGGTTTTATCTGAAAGTGAAAAAAAAAACAATGGTAACAGGTATATGTATATCGGAATATTCTAATGGGCACTCTCTAAACCAGTACAAAATGTTTTTTTAAACATTGAGAAAAATATATTGAATAAAGGTGTAAATATTAAGCTTGTATATTTAATTTGCAATATATGGTACATGGCAATTTCCCCAATGAAAAATGTTTAAACGCAGAAGAGAGTCAGTGATCAGATATCATTATTGTATACTTTCATTGAGAAAATATATGTCAATTATGAGTATAACTTATTTGTTTTGGTCCTATCAAAAGTTAAGAAAACTAATTGAATTGATCACAAATTGAGTAATATTATACTGTAAATTTCTATTTATTGGAATTAAGATCTATCAGCAGATCACTCTAACTGAAAAAAAAAAAAGAAGAAAAATCAGAACTCTTTAGTGTGCAATGTAGAGAGGGTTCTTAAATGTTTAATTTGATAAGCACCTTAAAAATCTGGAATTGATATGGCTATGGAATATATAACGTATATCAATATTCGCTACTGTGGTGTTAACAAATACTAGTAGTACATCAAAAGAAGCAAAGTTCTTAATGAAGAAAAATAATATTTTATAAATAGAATTTGATATTGAGTAAAATCCATACATCACTTTAAAATAAAGGGGGAATCTTATGTACAAAAATGCTAATTTTGTGATTGTTATTCTACGTGTTCTTATGATTACATTGATTTTATGCTACATGCACTATTGAAAATGTAAAACTACTGTATTTATAATTTGATTACCTTCTTATCATTGTGAGAGAATTATTTACAGTCAGCATACAGAAAACCATGATTATTGTACCTCTATTCCCGTAAAACAAATGAATTAAAAATTTGCTAAAAATACTAGCTTTTATTAAATGATTAGTAAATAATAAAAATAACATTTTTACCTACAACCAAAATGATTTTTAAAAACCCCAAGAATTTATTATTTATTAATAATTAATGGATCAATAATATGCAAACAATCATTGAAAAAGGTCAACATTTATTTCAAGCAGTTGATATATTAAAACAGATTTATGTTACTCTTTTTTTTATTTTATTAAATTTCACAATGCTGTTGCGTGTGCTTTTTAAAGAAAATGATAAATCAATGATATCAATTAAGAAAATGAACACAAATACCCCAATATACGATGTTATTAGAATATGTATTATATTCTTAAGGTACTACGTTTCATTACCAAAAAATTAATAAAAATGTCTTTTCCCTTCTCACACCTATCCCCAACATGTTATTACAGTTTGCACAGCAAAGTCAGCTTGGTCATGTTATATGATCTTGATAAATACAGTCTGTGCATGTGTACAACAGACAATTTAAAAAGAAAACATAAAGATATGTATTACATAAACATTAGGAAGTATAAATGAAACTGTACACAATATGTTAACCTGTAAACCAATGCCGGTGTTCTGTTTGCATTAAATCTTTTCCCTTTTCATTATCACATTCATTATCAGATTTAAACTAAATTTTCACATAAATTTTCTGATTTGCGTTCAGTAGAAATTAATCAGAAATCTTCCTATATATTAATGAAAAATTTTGATGTACACCATGATGCCTCCACCTGCCACTGCCACAAGTAAAACCCCAGAAAGATGTCATGATTCTGAACAAACAGCCTTCGTCATATCTACACTACCCTCCTCGTCGTCAAATTGAGGAGTGACGTGGAATGAGGTCGGGTCTACGTCTTCCTCGTGAAATGTGGCTCTGTGAGGGTGAAGATTTTTAAAGATTTTTCCTATTTATTTGTACTGTAAAACTTTTCTGGTGGTGCTACAGAGATAATGAATGACTTTAAAGTAAATAGTAATGACAACGAACAGTGATTAACCTTAATAATCTAGTAAAGAATACGAATGAAACATGGACCTCTAGATACACGAAAAGTGGGTTAGGTTTCTGTAGTAGAAGTGACCATTCCCAGTCGATCAGTCACAGCAGCAGTTAGTTCTTTATGCATTGATTATTGGAAGATAGACAGAGGAAAACTAAAGTGTTAAATTTTAAATTTAGTAGAAAAATATTTACCTAAAAATTGGAATGGAACAAGACAGTCAAATATACGAAAGGACTTGAACTTGAATATTGTTCGTTTTCTCCATATACAAGGGGTGATCAAAAAGTTCGCGAACTATCTCTATATCTACAAAACCACAATTCAGATTAGAATAAAATTTGGTACACACATAGCCATACACAAGTTCTATAAATAGCATATGCTGAATAAAGCTTTGCTCCTTGTGTGTGACGTCACAATGTGAAAATGACGTCACTATGTAGGTCACTTGTGACGAAAAATGGTTTTCTCAGTCGTACTCGTTGAACATAACGAATGTACAATTTATTGTATATCTCTAAAATCCCTCTGCAGTAGCATATAATAATTTGTACACAGTTTTTCAAGACAAATGACTTTATATTTATTCAATCAAGGAATAGATTGATCGTTTAAGTGAAGGAAGGCAGATGGCTAAAAATAATACTTTTTATGTTGCCCAGTCAAAGCAAGTTTGAAAAGATATGTGTTTTTAATTTGCTATCAAAGACCTCCAATTTACAATTTGAAAAATAATTGAATATTTGAAAAATGATATAAATATCAAATACCTCAGATATCATTGACTTTAGATTTCAAGTATATTAGATATGATAACGGACAAATTGTGTTCCACCTTGAATAGCTCTCCCGAGAGCCTTTGTCTTTTAATGGTCGAGCTTAAAATTTGGAAAAATGTCTTTTCCCCCATTCTGTTGCCGATACCTTTCCCCAAAATGTTCTTGATATAAAAATGCACAGCAAAGAAATATAAAACCAGCAAAATGGTCATGTTATATGAGCTTGATAAAATATAATCTGTGCATGTGTACAAAAGGCAATTTAAAAAGAAAACATTTAAAGATATAATTACATAAAAAAATATTGTTTCTTTTATGGAAGTTATTCAATTAGTTCGAAACTTTTTGACACAATATGTTACCCTGTAAAGCAATGCCGGTGTTGTGTACGATTTAAATCTTGAAATCTTTCATTATAATCTTTTCCCCCTTCGTTATCATATTCATTATCAGATTAAAACTAAATTTACTAATATGTGCTAGTAGCATTAATCAAAAGTCTTACCATCTCTTAACGGTGACAGAAAAGCGATGTACACCATGATGCCTCCACCTGCCACTGCCACAAGTAAAACTCCCAGAAAGATAAGACCAATCGTATGACGTGCTCTTCTGGTCAACATGAACATGTGTGAAATGTCATAAAAGTCTTTGGTTAAAAGCTCCTCTTCCTCCTCCTCCTCGTCAAACACACACACACACACACACGAATGAGGTTTTTTACGGGTCTAGTCTTCCTTTTTTTTTTTTTTTTTGCGTGAAATGTGGCTTTTTTTTTTGAGGGTGGTGATCAATGGAAAAAATTTCGTCGGGCTCCTCCAGCAGAAAGTAAGGCCATGTTTTTTTATTTACTGTGTATCATTGTCACTGTGAAAATAAAAGCTCTTCTTCAACTTCTGGTTTTGTTTCTACAGAGATAATGAATGACTTTAAAGTAAATAGTAATGACAACGAATAGTGATTAACCTCAATAATCTCGTAAATGATACGAATCAAACATGGACCCTAGCTAGATACACAAAATGTGGAGTTAGGTTTCTAAAATAGAAATGAACATTCCACGTCGTTCGGTCACACCGGCAGTTAGTTCTTTTATAGGCATTGATCATCGGATGGTACACAGAGTAATATCAAAAAGTTAAATTAAAATCATTCAAATTAAGTATTAAAACAATTACCTAAAAATATTAGAATGGAACAAGTCTGTCAAATATACAACTCAACAGTAGGATGTATTTGTAAGCGAAATCACTACATGTACAACGACCATAAAATCACATGTACTGAACTGCCGATGTTTTTCCGTTATTACCCGATCATGTCAAGGAGTACACGACAAGTGTGACAGGTCGGCAGGGGAAGCTCACTTCTCCATGGCACCTGATCCCATCTCTGACGTTTCAGAGGTCCGTTTTTCTGCTCCTTATTTGCACTGTTTGAATTGAATTGTGAGCTTCAAAACTATTCGTTATCTCCATATTTTTAAAAGGCAAAAAAAAATCTTATTATTTATTGAAAAGAAAAAAAAAGTGTGGGAAATTGTTTTGCATGCATTAATTTTTCAAAAATATCTTTAATGGCTAAAACAATTCCATTCTTCAAAAAAACAATTATTTATCAAATTAATTTTAGAAATTGAAATTTGTTAGGTTTAAAAATAGCAACTTCTTAATCTAGCTGCTTTCAAAAATCTTGTATGCAATATCGAAACCAGTTGTTTAATGATTTCAAAATGGCAATGATCAAATTCATTATTTATAAGGTTCTCAGCGCTTAAATTTAATTATTTGCAAGTTGTGCCTTCTCTAAGGAGATCGAGAACAATATTTCTTCAAGAGAATATCAATACATGTACGAAATATATTTTTAGAAAAACTTTTACTTGTTTTTCTTTGGAATCTTAAAATGGGATATCTTTCCACAGGTATATGGATATGAGAGAGAGAGAGAGAGAGAGAAGAGAGAGAGAGATTTTTTCATTCAATTACTATTTAATAATATACTAAAAATATGGGTGGACGACGAAACCGTCTTAAAATCTCTAAAGCGCACGACGAAGTTTTCACATCGCTTGCTCATTATTGCATAACCCAAAAATACAATTGGAAAATATTTTATCATATAAAATCTCAGATTTTACCTTATTGAAATTCACCGAGTCGGCAAAATTGTTAACCTAGATGTGTTCTGTGCTTGAGAACCAAATTAGGCCATTTTGAGATGCTTATTATTCTGCGAATCGTAAACTATACCATTAATTCGTCTTCCCTGTCAACGACTTTCAAACGACTTTCATTTAATATAATGATATCTTAGGATATAGTTGTAAAAAATATCAGGTGTCCCCATTGGATTATTTTCAATTGGTATGGATAAAATTATACGAAAATAAATCAGATTTATAATCTGAAATACCCTAAGTATCTCTATCCTACTATCCTCCCTAACAAAAACGTATCCATAAGTATGAAAGTAATGTCGATGTCCTAATACACCTTAATTCAAATTATGATTTTTGTGAACTAACGAGAACACTTTTAATACCCCTTATCCTTTCTGTATTCTTTAGTCATGGATCCCATTATGATTCTCATCTCGGAAAATGTTGGATATACTCCTTTTTAACTTAATATCGCAGCGATAACAAAAATGTGATAGTCTTCAATTATCCGAGTAAGGAAAATAAGATCTAAGGGCAAAAAAGCTACAAAAAAAATTTGATCAAATTTTACTAGAAACAAAAATTATTCAAATGTCCCAACTGCTCGCGCAATATTATATATTGTACAAAGACATACTAGCCACCAGTCTGTCTCCTCTCCTATTGGTTCTTTATAAATCCTGAACAGGAAGGATGAGTTAGGGCGGATAGTTTCCTCAGGCTTGCCTTCTTGATAGACATCCTGTAATGAGTAAGAATCCTCAGTTGCTGCCTCATTATCGTGGTAGTACTCCGAACCCGGTCCTAAATGGAAATGGTTCTCCGAGAACTGATTTTCAAACGGTTGGATATAACGGTAGTCCTCTCCCATATTCTCTCAATGATTAAATATCCATTTCTTGCATTTTAAAAAGTCACTTGGCTAGGCGATGTTGCTTGCCTTTTAGAATCTTTTCCTGCTTATGAAAAAACTGGTATATATTTAAAAAAGCACGTGTCTGTGTATTTTAAAAACGGAAGTAAAAATAGGTCCAAAAAACTGGTTAATTACACATAAAAATTTTGGTTGTCAAAATATACGAAATAGAGCATTCCAAAAAGAAATTTAAATTCCATATACACCAAAGAATGGAAATAACAAAACACATACAAAAATATTTAAAACCCCAAACTGAATGGCGTAATTCTGAAAGCTGGACGTTTTAACACTGTAACTCTATCTGTTTGTTTACACTTGATGCCTGACTTCTCATACGGGTAGATGTGTATATATCGGTCAAACAAGCAAAATAGGAATATACTAATCTACGCAAAATAATTCATAAAAAATGCGATTTAAAGGTTTCTTATCTTTATTTAAGAAAAATGTTACATCACGATATAAAAATACCCATTTTAAAAGGGGATATAGGTCAAATTAATACATTGTTGTATATTATATAAATACTGCATGCAGTTGAGTGTAACATTGAAAATTTTCACCCAAAGAAAACCATTGTCATTCGAGGTGCAGCCGAGGTTGACAATGGTTTTCGAGGGGTGAAAATTTTCAATGCTACACTCAACTACATGAAATATTTATTATATTGTACTGAATGTTTTATACAAATACATATACATGTAACAGTGAACCTTGTGCGCATAAATTCTGCGCAGTCGCTATTTTTTGGAATATCACCCGTCGTCAAGCACTGTTGACTGTTGCTACGCTGGAGGGCGTGGCTTCATTATTCAGAGGGTAATAGTGTTTTTTAACAAATGTTTCTCGACCAATCAGATTCAACTAATTGACATGAAAGTATAATATAAGGAATTATCTGTTGTATTAAATATTTCTGTAAAAAAGGGTCCAAGTTCGACTTTTGCAAGGTCTGGCAATGTTTGAATTTTTAATTTGAAATCAATTGCAAATCAAGTATCAAACCACAGGATCTTGCCTTTGATCAGAAGGAAGTCAAAATATCGTTACGGTAGCACAAAGCAAACACAGGTATGATTTAACTAATATCAAGTTTATTTTGTAGTTTTAAAATCACATAATTAAATGGTATTTTTAAGATTTTACATATTTGGAGACCAGGTCGTTCAACAAAAAATATGCTAGATTTCCAGTGGGAACTTACGGTTTGTGCTCAGTTATTATTTTTAAAAAATTGCATACTTTAGTATAGTAGAATTTATTTAAAACTCTTACCTGAAAGGTTTTAACTTTCCATACGACAGCACAATATATTGAAGACGTTGAATCAATTAGCAATATACATTTTTTTTTATTTCATACATCCCAAAAACATAAAATCACATCACAGAGTACGGCACAAATGTTTCATAATTTGTTGTTTCATTAGAGGAAGGAATTGATGACAAATCGACAATTAACGTTAATGATAAAAGTAATGCCTTCATTTTTATACGAACAATTTCTAAACCGAGACAGGCAGCTGAACACCAAATTGATCAAACAAGGATAATTGAATATGGAGATAAGAGTGATCAAGATAGCTCAAAAGTTCGTTGAAATAATACAACTTTGTAGCAGGGCAATCACAGGCCTTAAAAATACATTAGGGGTGAAATCAAGCGCCATGGAAGAAAAAGCACCCCCCATGTCGACCAGTTACACGCACCATGTACTCCTTGTCATGATCGATGTGGACAATATCAGTGAGTAAAAAGAGCCAAACTGTATGATTGAAAAAAAAAATCAACTTGATTGTATATGCTATCAAGGCCATCGAATTGACTATAGATTTTGCTAAATATTTATAAATGACTCTAACGAAGCTTTAGATAGTGTTTTTCTCCCAACAATACATTGGACTTCCCATGGGTACCAATTGTGCCCCGTTATAAGCAGACCTACTTTTGTATTCATATGGAGCAGAATTTGTACAAAATCGTATGCGTGAAAAGAATTTAAGAAAACACTTGACGTGGCCTTCAACTCGACATTTAGATATATCGACGACGTCCATTTATTGTCAATTAACAATTGTAATTTCCATTCTTATGTCGATACGATATATACTGGTGAGCTTGAGATAAAAGATACCACAGAGTCTGACACATCTGTTTCATATTTGGATATTTTACTTGAAAAAGACCTTAATGGTAATCTAACGACCAAGCTCTATAATATACGTGATGATTTTAATTTATCTATCGTCAACTTCCCTTACTTATGCAGCAATATACCTTCATCACCTGCATATGGAGTTTATGTATCTCAGTTGATTCGATACGCAAGAGAATACTCTATGTAAGAACACTTTCTGAAACGGGGTAAATTATTGACAAACAAGTTGATGAAACAAGAATATCAGCAGTCTCGTTTAAAGTCATCATTTCGTAAGATCTATGGTCGATATTATGACCTTGTCAGCAAATACAATTTATCATTGAGTCAAATGCTGACTGACGTTTTTTATACTAATTGTTAATCCATTA